CAAAAGACAAATGGAGTCTGGAACAGACTCCTTCCATATATTTGCACCAGGTTAATCTTGGCCGTCCCCTCGGCCTTCTGGCGGTCAGATTTGCAAGGAATAGTTGCTTCGCCTTCCTTTCTGGAGGCATTCGCAACACATGCCCAGACCTTCGTTGCTGTGACTTCTCAATCTGGAGAAGCAAAGGCTCTTCCGGATGTCACTATTCCGGACCATGTCGAGACGCGTTTGGCCAGCGACTCGTCTAAGAAAGCCCATTTCAGCAGCTTGTACCCGGGTTCGAAGTTTTTCACATTCTTTGATTTTATTAAATGGGGCACAAAGTTAAACTATTGCTCTATGACGTAACACCTTTCATTCTTCTATGCGAATTTTTATTTGAGATGTAATGGCGATGTATTCAAAGTTTATTCTTAGTTGCTTCGTCATTTCATTTTGATTTTGTGCCACGCACTTTACAGTATTGGCGACGCTCAGATTCAGCGATTTTGAGCACCAATCTAATGTCGAAGGGATCGTTAGTTTTTTCTGTTGATGTCGCTAAAATTTTGGATGCACCACAACAGAGTTCTTTAAAACAGAGGAACGAAAATTTTTCTGATTTTTTGGTTTATTCTGCCTTGAAAAATCCCTGTATTGCATAGCCGAAGTGTTGAATATATTACTACAAGGTGTTTTACGCATCAACTTTAGCCTTGCCTGTTAAGCTATTATACCGGACGTCATTGGCATTACTTTTCGTTCGGTAAGTTCAGTGTAGCTCAGAAGGTTGAGCGTGCAGACAACTGTAACTTAAACGGCATCGCTGGAGAGATGGTTTTTTTTGCAAAGAGAATTCCTGATATGATTGCTGTTTGGATCTGCGGACGACAGTCACTTAAGCTGACGTAAATGAGCCAATGCCTTTAATGTTAACATTTTGCGAGCATCCCGAAATCGGCTGGTGGTACCTTTACGCAAATGGCAAAAAAGGAGGTACTACAGGCTGTGTTGACTGCCCAGCTTTACATACTAGCTTTTGCAACATAGTACTTATGACTAACAACATAGAAGTGGGGTTCAGTGCTGCCGCATAAACTTAATGAAAGAAGATGTTCGCTATGGAAGTTTGAAAGAGAGGAGTGTCCTGACGGTTGTTAGGGTTGTTCTGTTTCTTCGCAGTTGAGCTGTTTTAGATTAGGTTTTGTTTAAATTCCCGCTCTTTTTTCACTCTCGGTGTTTTATGGATGGCGCAGCCTGCAGTCTTGCAGCTATTCGTTGTTTGGTTCCTGCTAGAACTAACATTGGTTCCCCAGTAGTTCTGACAATTTTCTTTGCCAGTCTGATATATCCCGCGTTCTGGAGTTGCTCAGTCGATAGAGTAGCGGACTCACAGTCGAGAGATTCTGAGTTCAGACCCCAGTCTGTTTACTCGCCTTTCATCCTTCCGACGTACACAAACGAGTTCCACTTCGCGGAAAGCAAACAGCCGACTACCCTATGTAATGGCCGCCTGAGGTGGATATAGCTCTAAATCTAGGTGACAGAAACCCTAAGCTGCATGAAAGAAAGGCACCGAGATGGTACCCAGTTATGACAGTGTAAGGGAGACTGAAATTCGAACGCTTAGAAGCGCTCTTTTCCTTTTTGCATTTCGGATGATTTGTTGCTTCTAATTGACCAGCAGTTCCTACACTTCGGCGAGTGTTTTTGAAGGATGTACTTTGTAGATTGCGTGAAACGCAGTTGTGAAACAGAGAAACGCCTGTGAGATAGGTCGAAGCGTCAAAGCGTCAGCTCCTGGCCTGTTTCACGATAGCGATTCATTTTACGTTCTGTTAAAACTGTCGTGTATAGTTGGTGCCAAATAAGTATATTCTGTGCATCCCTTGTCGTTCCGCTAACCTGGGCATAGAAGAACCCATCATTGGTGTATTCAGTATATCGCGGTCCTGAATCTGTATGAGTTTCGAAACGAATTTTTGCGTGAGTGCGTAATTGTGACGGTGTACTATCGGTGCTGTGGTCCATTTTTTGCATGTGTTTCCCGAAACTGCTCGCGTTGACCACTAGTGAACAATTGTCACTGGCACAGGAAGCTTGTCAGAGTTAGCTCCAACTGTTTTGGCCGCACTACGTACACGTCGCATACGGTTTCTGGCTTTTGTCGTTTTTCAGTTATCGACATCGACATTAATGTGCATGCGAGAGTCGCGTTGCTGCTGTGCTTCTATTGTTTGTTTGCATTTTAGAATTAATCCGCACGTTAACACATCGAAGGGCGATCGTTCCTTCGTCTCAAGTAAGAACGACATAGCTCAGTCTATATATTCTCCCGTTTCATAC